GATTCTTGATTTTATTTAAGGACTTCAGGTTTGGGGCCCAGGCGCCTTCAAGTCAAACTATGACAAATCTAAGCTACATTGGATTTCACTGAGGTGCGGTTTAAGTGGATGATGCACAATTCATATTCCGTACAAAGGGAATGGCAACCACACCTAGCCAGAAGGTGCTGATTCACTCCCCATATTTCGGTGAGCAGCCAACAACCTTCCCTCCTCTGCCTCCTCTCCTGTTCTAAAAACAGATTGGCATTCTAAGTTTTACCAGCTGTATTTCCCACCCTCCTCCTTCATCCTATAGTTTAGGCAGGGCTTTTTTCAGCCGGAACTCACCGGAACTCAGCTCCGGCAGCTCTCAGGTGGGTGCCATTGCCATTAGAAGAGAACAAGGTGAGAACAAGGAAACCCAGGCAACAGGACTGAATGAGACCCTCCAAGCAATTCTACCTGGCCCACAGGCCACGCCCCTCACTGGTCCAGCCATACACCCTCCTGAAGTAAGAACATCCAAAGTGTCCTTCTGGATCAGGCCAAAGGCTCATTTAGTCCAGTATTGATACTGTGATTGTTTTTAATTGTTTCTAATATGTTTTTCAAATTGTTATACATTGGTACCTCAGTTGTTGAACGCTTCGGAAGTCGAATGCTTCCATTTTCGAACACGCCTCAGAAGTCGAAGGCACGTTTTTCCATTTTTTCACTGGATTCTGCCGACTGGCAATTGCGCCTTGCTTGTCGAAAGTTTCGGAAGTCGAACGGTCTTCTGGAACGGATTACGTTTGACAACCAAGGTTCCACCGTACTTAATGTTTGTTTGAAATGTTGTGAGCCACTTTGGGCAGTTTGCTGGGGAAATGGCACACAAATAAACTGATGATGGCGATTCTGTTCTCACAGGGGCCAACCAGGGGCCAGTCCACAAGCAAGGCATGAGCATAACAGCACTTTCCTGGCTTGTGTTTCCCATAATTGGTGTCCACCTTTGGAAACAGTACTGTGTGGTATAAGTGGATGGTGCCCAGAGTGGCGGGGAAACCCAGCCAGATGGGCGGGGTATAAATAATATATGATGATGATGATGATGTACAGAGATGGAAGGATTTGTCAGTGTTGGTTTTCTCAGTTTCTCATATTTCTAATATTAAATTCAGTTCTCTACATTTCTGCAGCAATTTGCAAAAAATAAATACATAATAATCTCATGAAAATTCTTCAGAATTTCCCCTAATAAACACAGTTTGATGCAGTTTTGACTAACATGCACATTTTCGGAAGCATTTTCACCCAATATAATGCATTTTTGTATGTTGTTTTCACACTGGATAGAAGCTGTGGGGTGAATGTGTGTGAGATTGACAGTGCACCAAATGTTTGAAGTGCACAGAAACACCCAGGAATCCTGGGGACCTTTAACAAACTAGAGTTCCCAGGATTCTTGTAGGAGAGGTGCTTTAAATATATTGTGTGTACGCAGTCTGTCAGTGTAGGGAACAAAATGAACTGAATTTAAACTGTTCTGTTGTAATAATCAAGTATTATTTGCAAGAGGCCTAGAGGAAAAACTTCCCAGCGCTTCAGTCAGTGTGCCCAGATATCACCACTCAAGTCTCCTAGCTAATAATGCACAGTTAGCACAGCAAAGCTCAGTAAATCCAGGTCTGTCTCACTACCTGCATTCAAGCCTAATTACTAGGGCTGTCAAGACATTGCTTTCTTGCTTTGATATACTGTCACAGTGATCTAAAAAACTGAACTGCCAACTCATCCAGGAAGAAGAAAAAAGTGATGCTGAATTACACTAAAATTCTTTGATCCTTCACACCTAGTCACAGCATAGGTGGCAGAGAAAAACCAAATTAGGCAGTCTTGAGCACAGTGAGTAAAATGACAGGTCTGTGAATGATTATGGCACCAAGAAGACTACAGGCTCCAAGTGCTGTTTATTTTTCAGAATGGATACCTAACACTCTGTGATTCTCCATTCAGTGGTTGCCTTGTGGTTATTGGCTGAATGAAGACCACAGACAGCATGCTTTTGAGAGAATGAGCTATCTTTTAGTTATATCTCTGCAGCACACAGCACAAAGGAACCTTTACTCCAAACTGCAGGCATTGCTTAGTTATAAAATTTTCCAACCGTATCCTACAGATGCACTTCAAGATGTTGGCATATAAAACAAAATGATGCCGAATATAAGGTCTTTCCAGGTAATAAATTTCTATTGGTACCAGTGCTGGTTTTGAAGTCTTGAGTTCTGAATGATAAAATGAATGTCAGCAGCTATACAGCTTGATTCTGTGTACATTTACTCAGATTTATCACAACCCTCAACTGAAATTAAGGCTGCAATCCTATGCATACTAATCTAGGAGTAAGTCTTATTTTACAGTGCAATCCTATACATGTCTACTCGGAATCCTATTAAATCCTATTAAATTCAATAGGACTTACTTGCAAGAAAGTAATATTGGGACTACATTCTTAGGCTGCAGCCCTGCACCCACTTACCACGGGGAAATCTCCATTGAACACAGTGGGATCTGCTTCTGAGTAAGCAAGCATAACATTGCACTGTAAAATAAGGCTTATTCCTGGACAACTGAGCACAGGATTGCAGCCTTAATTTAAGTTTTATATTTCTTAGTGCTGTTAAGCAATCCTTCTGGACTAAAGACTTAAGCAAAATGTTTTGCTTGATTGGCCTCTGGATTTAGGATGCAACCACATAGCTGCCTAACATATGCAAAGACATGTCTTGAAAAATGGATGTAAAGAACAGCCGGACATGGAATCTATTCATACACCCTGGAAGGTAAAAAGAAAAAGACAAAAAAGTAAAGGTACAAGGACCCCTGGACAGTTAAGTCCAGTCAAAAGCGACGATGGGGTGTGGCACTCATCTTGCTTCAGGCCAAGGGAGCTGGCATTTGTCCACAGATAGCTTTCCAGGTCGTGTGGCCAGAATGACTAAACCGCTTCTGGAGGCAGGGAGTTCATCTGTAGGTGTTCCCAGAACCCTATGATGGGCAGAGCCAACCAATTCTAGTTTTGCCCCCATCATCTTCCCTATGGAGTTCTACAAAGGCAACACTGAGATTGAGGAGGAAGCTGAAAGCCATTGTCATCCCCTGCAATGGATGTTAAGTAAGAAGGCAGGCAGGTGGGGTTGGTTAGAGGCAGATTGCAAGGCAGTGCCCCATTCATCCTAATGGGCCAGCCTATAGTCCCTGTTTTAGAACATGACACCATCAGTGAACCTGGAAGTCCTGCTCTGAAGTTTGGACTAGCAGTTAACCTGGGAGCTGGCAGCTTGTGGGTGGCTCATAGGTGTCACATGCCTGATTTTTTAAAAAGAAAACCTCAATTAGGAAGCACTTTTAAATTAAGTATCTGCTTCTACCTGACAATTTACTTCCACCAATACCTGGCATCCTTGGTCAATGCCAGAGCCTCAATACCCTAGCAGAGCCTATTGCTGAGTCCAGGGACCTTCTTTAAATGGTTTTTTTTCTTTCTTCATGGGTAGTGACTGGAGCCTACCCATTTTAACTTCTCAAAATGCCCTGAAGCAGATTACTTTGGTCACACTCACACCATATATTTAAAGCAAATTGCTTCCCCCAAGAGTTTATCCTTACAGAGCTACAATTCCCGCACCTGCTCTTAACTATCATTCCCAGAGGTATTTGGGAGAGGGGATGCCATGTGCTTTAAATGTGTGGTGCGTGACCTCTGTCAGCAGCATTGTGGGAAATATAGCTGGAGACACTTGTCTGTTCTTTGGTGTTTGATAAGTTTCCCAAAAGACAGCATCTTAAAAAGCAGAGACATCACCTTGCCAACAAAGGTCCGTATAGTTAAAGCTATGGTTTTCCCAGTAGTGATGTATGGAAGTGGGAGCTGGACCATCAAGGAGGCTGATCGCCCAAGAATTGATGCTTTTGAATTATGGTGCTGGAGGAGACTCTTGAGAGTCCCATGGACTGCAAGAAGATCAAACATGTCCATTCTTAAGGAAATCAGCCCTGAGTGCTCACTGGAAGGACAGATCCTGAAGCTGAGGCTCCAGTACTTTGGCCACCTCATGAGAAGAGAAGATTCCCTGGAAAAGACCCTGATGTTGGGAAAGGCTGAGGGAACAAGGAGAAGGGGACGACAGAGGATGAGATGGTTGGACAGTGTTCTCGAAGCTACCAGCATGAGTTTGACCAAACTGCGGGAGGCAGTGGAAGACAGGAGTGCCTGGCATGCTCTGGTCCATGGGGTCACGAAGAGTCAGACACAGCTAAACGACTAAACAACAAGTTTCCCAAAGTCTTCTTATAAATGCAATTCTAGGGTGGCCCAGATTAGTTTCAAGCCTCTTTTACTGGTGAAACCAATACCACAAGGGCAGCCATGTTTGATCTGTTTCAGCAAATGCCAAGAAAGGTGCCTTGTCCTATGGCACCACAGAGACCAAGTAATTAACTGATTGTCCAGAAAAAGACGAATGTCACTTGTAGATTGTCACTTTTTTGCAGGTGAGATTTAATGGAATAACAGCAGATGTAAAATGGATTTGGCACTCTTGTGCAACAAACCTGCATCCAGAATTAGCTCCTGGACTTTCTGCAGTGACAGGAAGGTGCACTGGAAAGTGTGCATACGATCGCGCTCTGCATGGCAAGCGCACTCCTGCGCGCGCTTTACTGGCGAGTAAGAAGCGCCGCTCAGAGCCAGCCCTTTGCGCGCTGGAAGCCCCTCGTTCAATCCCCAGGAAAGGCTGGGGGGGGGGGAGAGACTCCGCCTCTGCCTCAAACCCCGGAGAACCAGCGGCCTGACTCGGCGCAAAGCATTTCCCTGCGTTCCGACGTGCACGGGAAACCCACCCATCGCCTCTTCGCGGGCAACTTCTCCTTGCCGCTTCCGTCCCTCCCTCCCTCAGCGCACCACGTGTCCAGGGCGACGTTGCGCATGCTCCGTGCTCGCTCCTCCCGCCTCCCCCCCTCCCGCTCCTCCTCCTCCTCCTCCTCCCGAACGAGTCTGGCCGGAGTCTGTGGCTCAAAATGGCGGCCGCGGCGGCGGCCGGAGCAGACCGAGGAGGGGGTAGTAGCGAGAGCCGCTGAGGCGGGCCGGCCCCTGCAGCCCAGCCGGGGATCATGGAGGCTCCGGGCTGCAGCTGAAAGACGCGCTCGGTGAGAGCAGGGAGGAGGGGAAGGGGGTCCAGAGGGGCACTTGCGAGGCGTGTGTATGGCGCGGAGGGGGGTTGTTATGTAGCCCCCCGAATCTCCCTCCCTTTCCCCGGGCCCTGTGGGGGATGCCCCGCTCCGCCGCCGCCGTCCTCGTCCTCCTCCCTCCGCTGCCTCTAGGCAAACCCCGGGGTCCTGCCCCTGCGCTCCTGTCCCCGGTGTTTGGGTGGTAGCGAGTTCCGCCCCGGTGCTTCCCTCCCTCAAAACCCAGGCGAGGGTCTGGGGAGACAGGCGACCCCCCCCCCAAATGCCCGAGGCTCCCGGCAAGCGCTCGCCTCTCTTCTTCCGACGGCCACTTTACTTCGCCGGGCACACTTCGGAGCCCCGGCGGTGCGCTCCTTGACAGCTTCTTTCTTTTTACACTTGTGGCGAACGCCCGCCCTTTGAATCTTCCCCCTTTTTATCCTTTGCCTCTTTATCCCCCGGGGTGACCCACAAGCTCATCCCCCCGCTCCCTTTCACGTCCTCGGGCTTTGCTTTTTTGCCCGGCTCCCTTACTTTTTTTAAAGGGAGATGGGTCCTGAGCATTTGACATCCTAAACTAGGGTTTGGTGTGCTAATTCTTTCTTTCTTTCTTTCTTTCTTTCTTTCTTTCTTTCTTTCTTTCTTTCTTTCTTTCTTTCTCTCCCTCCTCCCCCCGCCCCTCCACAACTTTCCCCTTTTCGGTATCCTTTGCAATAATTCGGGATTCATAGTGTTCGAATGTGGACCTGGGTCCAAGTTTTCTCTCTCTCTGCTTTGTACTTGCACAGACTCTTCTTCCTTACTCTTTTAAGTTGGCACCGAAGTGCCAAAGCAGAGAGCTCTTCCCAAAAGGATATGATTTGTAGTGGGCCTTCCATAATAACATCGCAGCACAGGAAGATCCTGCGCCCGCCTGCATTCTTTCGTCTGTCTGAAGAAGTCTGTAGCCTTAACACAGGCACATTGGACTAAGCCCTATTGAACGTAGTGGGATTTATTTCTGAATAAACACAGACATGATTGTGCTGTAAGTCTGCAAAGAACTGGCATGGAAGATTCAGAGTGTGATTTGTGTGTTCTGGATGTGTGTATCCAAAATGCACCCCCCTTTTCTATTCATTTGTTCTCTTTCCTGTGGATTTAAGCTCAGAAGCATTAAGCAACTCATTATTTTTCAGTTCAGGTTTGCTTTTTAGAGTTGTGAAAATGAGTGATAAATTGTAAAAAAAAAAAAAAGTAGACAGCTCAGTGTTTACTTAGAGCGAGTTTATTCTTTCAACCTCCCTGACAGAGGTAATTGTGTTTCTTCTAGATGACACCTCATTAGTTTTGCTTGTGTATTGTACAATAATGGTCTTGCTTAACAGCTTTGTGGTAATAACAACCATTTCACATCACAGCTTGGGTATTCTCTCTCCAGGGAGGCCAACATCTAAACTGAGAAAGTTTAGATGGCAGTGCAAAGACTGGTAGGATAGTTAGAGTTTATCTGAAAATTGCTGGTGGAGTTTGGAATGGATATGGAAGTTGTTGATCCCTTACTTTGTGCAGTATTTGTTAGGTTTTTTTTGTTTGTTAGCAGACTTGGCCATCACTAATTAAAAGTTGGGATAGAGATTGACTCAATACACCACACCATGGAGAGGAACTGCTGAGTTCAGTGATTAGAAATCATTTAGTATGTACCATGTAGTAAGCAATTAGAGTCCAAAGTGTAGTGTAGAGAGAGATAATCTTACTTAAAGCTTTTCTGCCTGTTGTGGACTTCAGAAGCACTGCAACACTGAAGTCCCCCTACCCTATTGATGCTTGAGAGGGCCTTATAGAGACTGACATTTATTTATTTATTTATTTATTTATTTATATCTTTTTTACTATTCTCTCACTGGTGAGGTGCAATATATATATGAAGCTCTAGTGTTACAATTTCAATTGTTTCAGGATATCTTGGATCAGCTAATTTTTCACAAAGGTCACACTGTAGTACACTTATGCCACTGAATTAATCCTATCTTTGTCTATAGAGCTTTCTTGTTCTGTGATCACATAATAATTTTTTCTTCCTTGAATCAAGGTTCTAGGGTGACTTTTCTCATTTTGCGCAAAGTTTCTCATCCGTATCTGAGGCAGACTCTCTGTAGACTCTTGAGATTCTCAAGCATGAAAGGCAATACAGAAAAGCTGGCTATTATGCTGTTAGCATCCAGAAAAGCCGGGAAGGCTTATAGATGCAGACTGCAGATATAAACACCTTTTGGAATAGAATGATGATGATACAGTTCATTTCTCTTGTACTGGATAAATTTTGCTGCAACATGATTTTTTTGCTGGGTGTGTAGTGGATAACACAATTACCAGTAGCATTTTCCATTGTCATTTATGGGAAGTAGTTAAAATATTTCATTCAGTTGAAGCAGCTGTGCTTTGTGTTGCTGTAATTCTTGCTCCCTTTGTAGTCTGCATTTATTAGTGGCCACTTTGTCTGTGCTCCCTAGATACAGTTTGATTTAAGGTGTTTTTTATATTAGAGGTTTGATATACGGTATTTATTGAAGATGTGGTAGCTCTCTGCAAATGTTAATTAATTCTCTCACCTTCTGTGTAACAGTAATTGAGTGCATTTTACATGGTAGATAATTTTTTAAAGATCTAGTAACTCTTTTCCTACTAATCAAGTTCTTGTTTGTTAAACCAAATCACATTTGTTTCCTAGGTAGGAATTTGTTGCCATGAAATTATTTCTGATAGTAGACTATACATTGAGAAAAGTGTGTCCAAAGAGCTTTTTAACAAACTCAGCATATCAACTCCGTTCAGAGATAGTGCTTACGCATGGTTTATGAAACACTCTTGTAGCTCTTTATGCTCCTTCATCCCTGATTTCATAGAATCATAGAGTTGGAAGGGACCCCAAGGGTCATCTAGTCGAACCCCCTGCACTGCAAATCCATGACAGATGACCATCCAACCTCTGCTTAAAGACCTCCAATGAAGGAGATTCCACAACTTCCCCAGGGGAGACCGTTCCACTATGGAACAGCTATCAGAAAGTTTTCCCTGATGTTTAGTCAGAATTTCCCTTCTTGTAACTTGTAGCCATTGGTTCGAGTCATACCCCCCAGAGTAGGAGAAAACAAGCTTGCTTCATCTTCCATGTGACAGCCCTTGAGATATTTTAAGATGGCTATCATAGCTCCTCTCAGTCTCTTGTTGTTATGAATTGCCAAACAATGGTTATAGCTTGCCTCCGAAGCACAGTTTGAAGTTTCTATTTGAAAGAGGTTTGCAAACAATGGTTTTAGAGGTTAACATTAACCATAGTTTGCCAATTAGGATGTCAGGTTAACCTATAGAAGGAGAGACTGCTGTTGCATGCAGGTCCGGTTTGCAGGCTTCCTATAGGAATCTTGTTGGCCACTGTGAGAACTGGACCCCTGGTTTGATTCAGCAGGCTCTCATGTTCTTACAGTTAGAGAAAACTAGTAGTAGGGGAGGTGGGAGAGGAGTAAATACATGCTCACATGGAACTCTCCTTACCAGACCTGTCCTGGCATTACCTCTGGGTAAAGCTTTTAAAAAACCTAAAAGAGTAGTACAGTGGTGCCTCACAAGACGAAAAGAATCCGTTCCGCGATTCTTTTCGTCTAGCGGTTTTTTCGTCTTGCGAAGCAACCCCATTAGCGGCTAAGTGGATTAGCGCTATTAGCGATTTAGCGCTATTAGCGGCTTAGCGGGCTTAGCGGCTAAGCTGTTAAAAGGCTATTAACGGCTTAGCAGCTTTGAAAAAGGGGGTGAAGCGGGGGGGAAATGGCGAGACTCGCAAGACGTTTTCGTCTTGCAAAGCAAGCCCATAGGGAAATTCGTCTTGCGAAGCGCCTCCGCGACGGAAAACCCTTTCGTCTTGCGGGTTTTTCGTCTTGCGAGGCATTCGTCTTGCGGGGCACCACTGTAATAGGCTTCTCTAACCGACTCAAACACCATTTAAACGATTGTGTAAACTGTGATGGGACAACAAAGGAGTACATCCGTATGTCTTCCCAACCACTTCTTGCAAGGCTGCGTGGTACAACAGGGATGGGAAACTAGTTCAGTGTGGCAGATTGCATCAGCAAATTATGCATTGTATATTACTAACTTTTCCTCTCCAATTATGAGGAATAGACATTTATTTGAAAACACTTATTTTCCCTCAGGATTATATTCCCAGAGGTTATGTGAGGCCTGTAGGCTACAGGTTCCCCACCACTGCCCTAGCCAAGTTCAAAACCATTGCTCTTGCAAGTGGGGGGACGGACACACATGAGCTCTGTGCCTGCTGTGAATAGCATTTCTGATAACTTGATTGAAGTGTTGATCTCACTGATTTTCACATGATGTAATTCAGAACATTATAAGTGATCATTTGCTTGGCTAATGGTATGGAAGTGCAAAGTTTAGATTCATTTCTGTTTGCTTCTATTATTTTAGTATTCTTTTCGGTGCACAATATGCTTAAAAATTTCTTCTCCTCTCAACCTCTCTGGGGTATAGGTTAAGCTGAAATACAGTTTTCCACAGCATAATATGTGCTAAGTTTTGCCACAAAGTGGCTGCAGTACCCTATTGAGGGCACAATATTGTTTCCTTGTTGAGTTGATCTTACAGAATCACAGAATTGTAGAGTTGGAAGGGACCCTGAGGATCATCTAGTCCAACCCCCTGCAATGCAGGGCTATGCAGTCATCCCATACTGGCATCGAACCTGCAACCTTATCAGCACCATGCTCAAACCAACTGAACTATCTACGGTATATGATGTATTTGTAGTATTCACCCTTTGTTTTTTAAGTGTACACATACAAGTCTGTGACTGTGGAAGATCTGACAAGGAGTCACCTATATATTAATAATTATTCTGGTTTACCTTGATGAGCTCTATATTAAGATTTTTTAATCTGTCTTTGCCTTCTTTTTGATGGTGGATAGGTACAGCACTGGTGATA